ATAACAGCTGAAGCATTGGATGAGGAAATAATGCTAAAGACAAATTAGGTTGCAGCAGAGACTGATCACAGTACATTTGTTGTAGTGGGTAGCTATTCCAGCTTTGATCTGGAAGTTCCAACCCCCATTGAGGCTTTGGCAACTGTCATGCCTACAAGGCGGGGCCAAGGGAGTTGCCAAGAGACCTGAGATCTGGATGGGCCAAGGCTCTCTCTGTTCCTGAACCCTAGAAGGTGGAGCTTGACTGAGCAGAGCTCCAGAGAACACCGCTGGACTGTGATACACCTTCCCCAGAACCTGCAACCTACCTATCTCCTCATTTATAACTTATCCACTAAATAAATCTTCCTTTTAACTACGTGGAGTGGCCTTAATAATTTCACCAATAATAATTTATCCACCACTTTATTCTAGAAGCAATAATCCTCAGGAATATAGAAGCAGAAATGCCCCCAGGAACTGGTGCTGATAAGCTAAGCCTAGCCCTGAGTTGGAATCATCTAGAACCCTTCTTTTCTGCTTTCCAAGTACACACACATGTGTTTGTGAGAAAGAATATGAAGAGTGACAGAGGGGAAGCTCATGAAAGTCTTGAAGAATTTCAGCCTCACTGGTTGGGGTGATTAATTGTCAAGTAAGTAAAACATGTTCCATATGGACAACTTTGCATGGGGTCATAGAGGTTTTTTTTTTTTTTTTTGAAAATATTACATTCTAAACTTTTCAAAACATTAGTGAAGATATTAGCATCAGGCTCTGTGTGAATCCGTAGACTTGAGAGCTGGGCTGGGGATAAGCAGGAATCAGGAGGGACTGACCCAGAGTGACTAGTAGTAGTGGTGATGATGACTTAAGACAGAGGCAGAGTTCTGTGTCTGGCATGTCTCAGTAAAATCCTTCAGAGTGTTTCTTAGTTGTCAATTTATAAAGCTGGCTAACATTCACTTGATGCAATGATAAGAATGCATTACTTAGTCATATGTGTGTAAATTGGCTATAATTTAACAGACCAAAGTGAGACTGCTTCAGTATGACTTTAAATTTATGGTGTAATGTGGTTCCTTAGTATTTTTTCCAATGACTCATGTTATATTTACTACTTTCCACTTACACAGCATCTACTGATAATTATTTTCACAAAGCATGTCACATGGATGAGCCCATACGTATTTAGCAGGTAACAGTACTTTTCTACAATGTTAACAAAAAATAATGAGTACTTACTTGCCAAAAGGTAAGATAGGTTACTATACTATGCAGCTTCTTTTATGAAGGTAATTCTGTATTGAAATTTTCACTGCGTAAACTTCTACCTTCCAGAGGATTCTGGATCTCTGGACATCTTTGCCACTTAATTCATATCTTGATGACATTCCATCTTCCTATAATAGTTCATGTGCTGGCTAGAATCTCATCCCACAGTTACTACTATAGATTTTAAGTGTTCATTTAACAGTAGCCCAATAGATCACACCAATTATTTGATTAGTAATTTATTGATGGCAAACAAGTAGTTGTCAATACTCAAACTATGCTCAAAACTATGCAATGATTTCTCTCTCAAATACAGGTAAGTTGTTTAGTGTTTGGTTGACTTAGGATGAGATATGAAAGCCATAGTGGCATGTTCCTCATTAACAACCATATAACTGTCTGGCCATATAAATATACATTCCTCCCAGAATAGATACAAAGAGCACAAAGGCCCGAAGTCATCATGCAAATACATTTCACCTCCCTAATAATTTCATATCTGACACCATGGTATTGGAAAGATTCATGGTTTAGTCTTAATGTGATTCAAAAAGGTTTTCAAAGTTTGGTCATTTCTACAAGTCTGTTGACTTTCACATTCTTCTAACACACCATCATATTCAAGAACAAGTATCTCGCAGTATCCATTCCAGTCTTCGCAAGGCATCTGTGCAGCCTTATTGATCTGTTTAGCCTTCCACCAAATGAGAGTAAAGTGATTTGTTAAAAGTCCTCACTGCTTTTCCTACTTCCATTGACACTCTGTTGACAGTACTTAGAGATTGCTGTTGAAAGCAAACATCAATAGGCTCAGGTGATGGTAAAAGTAAGAGTAGTTAACTAAACTGAAAGTAAGTAGAAATTTTTTATTATTCAAGACAGGTTCTCCAAATGTACTTCTGGATGGCCTGGAACTCAGAGAGACCCACTTGCCTGTCTCTGAA